ATCAATCTCAGCAGCAATGTCCGGTCCATGTCCTTTTATAAAACAAAGCCCACGCATTTCTTTTGATTTTCACAACAAAGCTAAGTCCGGCCCAATGCTTTTGAATTTCAAAATTAAAGTTTGCAGCAATGGTCCGGTTCCCATTCAAAATCTTCAGCCCATGTTGTGATTTTCAGCTGCAGCATTCAAAACAAATCCAGCCATTGAGTCTGCACACCATGATTTCAAACCAATCCTAGTCCGGTCTTGATTTCCAATCTTGCTGCAGGAAAGTCCCCAGCCCAATCCTCATTAGGCCCAATCATACTTCATTTGAATTTGAACTTTAAAAACCGAAAATAGCATCAAGTCCGGCCCATGAAGAAAGACATTTGATTTTCAAATCCAGCCCATTCAATTTTCTCCATTAAATTGATATTCAACTCCAAATCTCCCAAGCTTCATCCGGTCCTTGAGAAAAAAATCCAAGCTGCAGTACCAAGCCATTGATTTTCGAAAAAAAAAACACACATGCCAAGAGCTCCATTGTGGAAGTGATATTGGGCTTGACTTCATGGGCTTCTTCAAAAATAAAAATAAGAATCCACACTTGCCTTTGGCTTCATTGCTTCATAGGCTTTAATTCTTCTTTGGGGCTTGGATAATTTGGAAATTTAATTTTCCAATGGGCTTCTTGATTCATTTCTTCATTTAATCAATGGGTTTTTGTTGAGAGATGAGAAGTTGAGATTTATTCTTCATTAATCTGCAATTAAAGATAAAAACAATTATTAATGGCATATTTATTCATATAAAATAGATAATGAGGGTATAAAATTATAATAAAATATGATTATCACCAAGGCTTGAGGCGCATAGTTAAATCTCTGCTAGAGATTTGAAACGCACAGGCCGCATGCGCACAGGTCGCTTGTGTGCTGAATCTCAACTCTACGTCTTGTGATTGAGACGTAGGGTTGAGTGTTTGCTGAAGAACGCACAGTCTGTACGTTTTATGTTTTAACTCTGCGTTGCAGAGTTGAATGTTCGTTGGAGAATGCACAGTTCGTATGCGTTTTGAGTTTTAACTCTGCGTTGCAGAGTTGAATGTCTGTTGGAGAACGCATAGTTCGTATGCGTTTTGAGTTTGGGAAACGCAGAGGTGGACTCTGCGTTTGGGAGAGGTTGTTGGCTTGTAACCTCATCCATTACAACATCGCAAAGGCTACGGCTCATTGATCTTTGCTTGTTATGGGGTGTGAAAGTCGTCAGATTGTAACTATCACAGTTGGTTATGAAGGCTACTGAATAGAGTTTTCATCAGCTGTCAGAAGTGTCGTTGATTTGTAACTCTTCTTGATCTATGTGAAAAGTCCTCTGTTTGTAGCTTTTGTTTGTTGAAGCTTGATGGGGATCAGCTATCTATTGTGATTTTTAGACAGCCTACAGTTACTCATGATCATTGATGGGTTCTTGAGCACCAACGATGGGCTCTTGCATGCCATCGATGGTTTGAAAATTTATCTATGAAATTTCATCAACCACTTTGCGTAGCCATCGATGAGGTCATAACCATCGATGGGTCCTTGTTAACCATTGATGGTTAGATGGCTGAAATCAGCATTTGAGCTGATTTTCACTTCGTTTCGCCTCATGCATGTCTCATACTTGTATTCATATGTATTATATCATCTCAAATAATTATTAATACTAAATGAGAGTTTGTTATTACTTAAGTAAGTGATTTTGCATAGACTACATCCTAACATTTAACTCCTTAAATACAATGATACCTACCCTATGCGAGCAGATGTTACCTAAGCAATTAGTATTAGTTTTTTTAAAGCATGTGTAGAATCCTAATTTTAGCGTGGTATGGATTCCTCAATCTTTAGCAACTGCATTTTGGCAGTGAAGATTGGAGATAGCTAAGGAGTAAATAGCATGGTCTTGCATCACTCAAACTTGATCCAAAAATTTTCTTGTGAGCTCAAAGTCTAAGTGCATCGCAATGTGATAAGAGCCCAAACTTGACTTTGCACTGACAAATCAAGCAGTATAAAATCTCTACACAATTACCTAATCAAGCAAATATGTAACCCAAGAATACTAAGAACAAATCTGGAGCTCCAAAAATAAGAAATCGTAATTTTGTTAATAAATTCTCCCAATTTTTCTATCACCAAAAATATAAAAGAACTTTTTTTACCTAGCCGGCCTTAATTATCCTCTGTTTTGGCTTCCTAAACAAATTCTATTTGTAAATAAATTTTTATTCATAAATAATTTCCTGCTTCATAAGAAACCCTATTTATCTAAACAATTCCTTACTACCTAAAAAATTTCCTACTTCCTAAAATGAATCATATTTGTAATCAAATGAAATCCTACAACTTAGATACCTTCATTATGTATCTTTTTGTAATTATGCACCACGCAAGCATGATCACTCTTACGCATAGATAGCTCCGGACTCATATCATTCTCTCCTCCTTTGATAATACACTTGTCCTCAAGCGTAAGATCAGGAAATCTCTCATTGAGCTCAACATATTTCTCCCATGTGGCATCATCCTTCATCAAGTCCTCCCAAATCCTCTCTGAAATTGGCAAAGGTTGCATTAACACCATTGCAGCCCTCTGATCATATTTTACCTTCTGGCACATATCACACTCCACATACTCCAGATTATACTGCATCGTTTGGGATTCTAGCTGAGGTGACACAAATTGGGAATCAATTAGATTTGGATGCAGATGATAAGTTGGTTTTGGATTTAATTACAACTGATGGACTTGATTTGGATACGGCCATTGGTTCACCTCAGATGGAGGTGTTTGATTTGTCTCAGTTTAGGGCCATTGGGAGCACTACCAGTTGTAGATCGTTTGGTGATATTGGGGAAGAGTTGCAGACTTTTCTATTTATTTGAGGGTCTTTGGAGGCCGTTTGGGTAAACTACGTGAAGGCTTGATTTCTTAGGCAAGAGGATACGTAGACAGTCAGTTTTAATGCAGCCGATTTGGTGAGTAGACATCGACGTTTGGGAGAGTGTTCGCACTCCCGTTTGGGTCTCGACTTGTTGTGGATTGAGTCCGTTGTCGTGAATCGTTTCACTTCGTACTGGACTCAACAAGTAGGACATTTGATTTGATTGGTGTCGGCTCAGTTTTGGAAAAACTTCACCTAGAGAATTGAAGAAACCGCGAAGAAATTTGGTGGAGAACATGTTTTGGGACGCAGGATTCAGTTTGGGAGCTGCGCGGTCGACCATAGTGCAAGGCTGATCGACCGAGAACGTGCACATGCTCATGGATTGTGTCTGGATTTGGCGCGGGTGACCGCGAGACCATGTAGTCATTTTTTGAGCTCTGTCGTTTGTCGCGGTCGACCGCCAGACGTTGTAAGCATTTTTCAGGTTCTATCGTTTGGCGCAGTCGACCGTGGCGGTCGACCGCGTAACGGGTCGGGCCCAGTTTGATTTTCCTATTCTTATTGGGTTTCGGTGTTTGGTATAAATACTAATACACGTTCTAGGGTTTCTTTAGGCTTGAGTTTATGATATTTGAAGCACAGAAAAGAGGTATTTTCTGAGCAATTTGATTAGGGTTTATTTGGAGAGATTAAGAGCTTTGTGGTGAAATTAGTTTATTCCTTCGAGTGATTTGTAATATCAGTTTGTACTCTTATTCTCTATTAGTAAAACCCCATCTCCTTCTTGCCCCATTAAAATCGTTTGTTTGTGTTTGTGACATTGATTTGGTGATTTGACCTTTATCTTGGCATTTGGTATTTGGTTTCTCGAAGCACGTTTGGTTGTATGGCTTCCGCACAGTGCACAACACGTATAACATCACTTTCCGTCTTTTTTTTGGGGGGGTGGGGGGGGGGGGGGGACAGAACTGCTCCCCGTGCTCCTATTAAACTTCTTTAAAACCTTTTGTCAGAAAAAATAAAGTGGAAAAATAACCTTATGAAAGCAATAATATTGTAATAAACATGATAGTAAGCGTTGCAAGAGGATCACCAAAAATTTCAATATAGTATCATTACCCAGTATCATCACTATATTGAACTAGAGAGCTAAAAAAGTTGAACTACTTATCAGATTGGAAAATTAAACCTCTGGATTCCATAATCTAATCAAAGAGACACTTTTGGTTATAATGAGAAACATTCTGCGAGAAAATGCATTCACTAGAACACATCAATTAGCATTCCAAGAGGAACATAGATTTTTTAATTACAAAATCGCAGCTACAATAATGTAAAACATCCAGCTGCTTACCACCAGTGTTATGAATTAACTTCATCATATTAGACACGCAAGGATAAGTAACAAACTTTCGCGCTAGACATCACATTACACAAGAGCACTCAGGCTCAATCCAGTCTGTTTTAAACGAGTCTCTAAGACTAATCTAACTAGCATGCCTCCGCCTATTGCTGGAGAAAACCTTAGTCAGTGCAGTTTCAGAGCACAACGCAGCTTTCAACAGATTTAAAGCCTACAACAAGAAGAACAATATCATTTACCCTCAAATAGTTCTTGAAGACAAGTCATCAGATGAAGAAAATATATTACCTGCGTCTCTCCGATGCCGACCTCCTCCTCTTTCTTGAAGACAAGTCATCAGATGAAGAAAATATATTACCTGCGTCTCTCCGATGCCGACCTCCTCCTCTTTGAGATTACCGATAGAAACACCGAGCAAAATATATTACCTGCGTCTCTCCGATGCCGACCTCCTCCTCTTTGAGATTACCGATAGAAACACCGAGCTCTTTCACCATGTGAACTGCGGCAAGCGGAGAAAATAGAGATACATTCAAGTCATCAGTAACCATGAACTTACACTGTCCCTTTGCATATCCTCCCCCTGGTTCGGTCATTTTGTTTGGGAATTTCGGGTTCAATTCCTTAAATGTAGCGATATTCACCTCATGTGGACAATTAGCCGTTTTTCTAAAGCATGAGTGGCATCCTGCTTTTGTTACACCTCCACGTGACACCGTTTCCTCAATCTTTAGCCGCTGCATTTTGGCAGCGAAAAATGGAGCCAGCTTAGGAGATAATAGCATGGACTTGTGCTCATCGGACTTGATGCAAACACTTTCTGGTGAGCACAAACTCTCGACGCTTTCATACAAGTTATCAAAACAACCCATGGATGAATTCTTGCCAAGAAATTTAATAACGGCCCCAACGGGTAAGGTGAGGAAACTGAACAGAAGTTCCACTACCTTTTCATCACACTCCATGTGAACAAACCTACCATTATATTTTGTCCGTAGTAGTTTTACCTTCATTTCTTCACAGTCCGAATTTTCATCATGGCCTTCACATTTAGGGACCAGTTGAAACATACCATCCCTATTTGGCAGGTCTCCCTCGTTCATGGAAGATTTTTTAAAGAACAAGTCAGTCAGGGGTGTATTGGAAATCAACGTTCTTCGCAGCAAATTTAAGACCTGTAAACAAAAGAAGCAAGAGGGAATGATTAATTGCTTGTTAAGGTAAAACGCCATCTAACTAATCAGACATATAGTAGTCCGACTAGTATATATACTTTGTAATCAATAATAATCAAGTAATTGTAGGACTTTATACCTTGACCAGGTTGAAAAAAAAAGAAAAAGAAGAGAGAGAGAGAGAGAGAGAGAGAGAGAGAGAGAGAGAGAATGGTTCACCTCATCATGGCCAATATCCATAATTCTCTCCTCAAGTACGCTGCCATCTTTTATCCCTTTCTTGCCGAACAAAGATAAAACACCCCCTGTAGAAGCCGGCATTACGCGTAGCTCATCGCTCACAATAAACTTAAGACCTCCCCTGACGAAAACCCCGTCTCCAGCTGCATTCATGGTTTTCTTTTCCCATTCTCCAGCGTAGCTCATTTCCTTTCCGCAGGAACACCGGACGCTAGGAACAGAGCTATAGTAACAGGTGGCTTTGGAGCAGCAATCTGATTCCGGACACGTGTAGAACCTTCTTGGGTTAATCTTATCGTCAACGTTAACTACTAAATCCTCGCAGCTGAGTCCCGCCGCATTCAGAGGATTAAGCAGCATTGACTTGCAGGCCTCAGTCTCAAAGTGCTGGCTGTCGAGACCCTCAACGCTCTTGTACAAATTACCAATGCATCCTAATGACGAATCTTTTCCGACGAGTTTGATGATGGTCCCCGTCGGCATTGTCAGAAAACTTAGCAGGATGTCAACGAAATCCTCGTCCGATTCAGCCATCACCACTCGAGACTGCTGCTTGTCGACCAGAAGCTTCAGGCTTATCTTTTCTTTGCTGGCCGCCATGGTGAAAAGAGTATAATTTCTGGCTTTGAGATATAATGATGACAAATACTCTGGTAAAAGTGACTGTGAACGTTTCAGCTTTCAAGATGAAGCTACGGATTCTAACCTGTGATGTTTTTTACAAAAATTGATTATGATGCTTTAGTTTCCAAGATGTGGCTTGAAAAATTATTACGATGCTTTAGTTTCCAAGATGCTTTAATTTCCAAGATGTTTAAAAATAAAATTAATTATGATGCTTTAGTTTCCAAGAAAAGTTATGATGTGGCTTGAAAAATCAATTATGATGCTTTAGGGTCTGTTTGGTTCAATAGTGAGTAAGAATAGAATTATGAATCCTATTTTATTTATGGATTCCAATCTAATCCATAAAAAATTTATAGACAAGTTTTAGTTTTATGGAATTCTATTATTTTGTATTACTTTGTAATCAATAATAATCAAGTAATTGTAGGACTTTATACCTTGACCAGGTTGAAAAAAAAAGAAAAAGAAGAGAGAGAGAGAGAGAGAGAGAGAGAGAGAGAGAGAGAGAATGGTTCACCTCATCATGGCCAATATCCATAATTCTCTCCTCAAGTACGCTGCCATCTTTTATCCCTTTCTTGCCGAACAAAGATAAAACACCCCCTGTAGAAGCCGGCATTACGCGTAGCTCATCGCTCACAATAAACTTAAGACCTCCCCTGACGAAAACCCCGTCTCCAGCTGCATTCATGGTTTTCTTTTCCCATTCTCCAGCGTAGCTCATTTCCTTTCCGCAGGAACACCGGACGCTAGGAACAGAGCTATAGTAACAGGTGGCTTTGGAGCAGCAATCTGATTCCGGACACGTGTAGAACCTTCTTGGGTTAATCTTATCGTCAACGTTAACTACTAAATCCTCGCAGCTGAGTCCCGCCGCATTCAGAGGATTAAGCAGCATTGACTTGCAGGCCTCAGTCTCAAAGTGCTGGCTGTCGAGACCCTCAACGCTCTTGTACAAATTACCAATGCATCCTAATGACGAATCTTTTCCGACGAGTTTGATGATGGTCCCCGTCGGCATTGTCAGAAAACTTAGCAGGATGTCAACGAAATCCTCGTCCGATTCAGCCATCACCACTCGAGACTGCTGCTTGTCGACCAGAAGCTTCAGGCTTATCTTTTCTTTGCTGGCCGCCATGGTGAAAAGAGTATAATTTCTGGCTTTGAGATATAATGATGACAAATACTCTGGTAAAAGTGACTGTGAACGTTTCAGCTTTCAAGATGAAGCTACGGATTCTAACCTGTGATGTTTTTTACAAAAATTGATTATGATGCTTTAGTTTCCAAGATGTGGCTTGAAAAATTATTACGATGCTTTAGTTTCCAAGATGCTTTAATTTCCAAGATGTTTAAAAATAAAATTAATTATGATGCTTTAGTTTCCAAGAAAAGTTATGATGTGGCTTGAAAAATCAATTATGATGCTTTAGGGTCTGTTTGGTTCAATAGTGAGTAAGAATAGAATTATGAATCCTATTTTATTTATGGATTCCAATCTAATCCATAAAAAATTTATAGACAAGTTTTAGTTTTATGGAATTCTATTATTTTGTATTCTATGTTTGTTTCACCCAAAGGATTGGGAATAGGATTAGGAATCAGAATAAAAAAGAGGAGAGATGTTAGAAATTCCACCCAATTCCTAGCAAATGGACTGGATTTGAATTTCCTGAAATATACACTGTTTGAGCCACTTTATAGATTAACAATTCTATAAAAAAAATTTTGAACCAAACTCAGGATTATGATTCATTTGGAATCCATTAATTGCGAAAACGCCATTGTCAGGTCCAAATACCATTCCTATTCCATAAAATTGGTGAAACAAACAGGCCCTTAGTTCCAAGATGTGAACGTTTCATTGATCACAATCACTGGACACAAGGATTGGATCCCCGGTGAGATCTTTTGACTAGAAATAACAGTATTAAGGTGGTGATTGGTTCAAGATATATTTTGGGATACAGCCTACAGGGTGATTTCAAATTCTAGGGTTAATTTTTTTTTAAAGGGGTGTTTGTTTCAAATCCTAGAATTTTAAGATATCAAAACCATGAGATTTGAAATCCATAGGTTTTTAACATGGGTTGAGATTTCTAAAATTTTATTAATTTGTTTCATCAATATTTTGGGATATGTAATACTATAATTTGTAATATTTTGTTTGTTTCAAACTCAAATTGTAGCATTACAAATTTTAGAATTTAAAATCTATAGTTGTAGCAAAAAAAATTTAGGATTACCAAAATAATGATCGGTGAATACAAAAACGTTTGGTGAGCTTACCTCGCACAAAAAACAAAAAAAATAAATACAATTATATTCAATTAGGGTAATCATACCCATTAAAATTTATACTCCAACAGCTATAAACGGTCATAAACTAACCCGAGACAATGAAAATAAAAAATGTAAAAATAAATGATAGTATAGAGGCTCAGAAAATGGTCATTTTTTTTAACACCTATATAATGAAATTGCATTGTAGATTGCATTCAAACAATGGACTGCCTCATCTAAAAATTACAAAAACAATCTAGACTATATTTTCATAATTATATTCAATTGGGGTAATCATACCCATTCAAATTTATACTCCAACGACTATAAACGGTCATAAACTAACCATAGACAATGAAAATAAACAATGTAAAAATAAATGATAATATAGAGGCTCAGAAAATGGTCATTTTTTTCAACACCTATATAATGAAATTGCATTGTGGATTGCATTCAAATAATGGACTGCCTCATCTAAAAATTACAAAAGCAATCTAGACTGTATTTTCATTAATGAACGCCTCTTGTAAACAATAAAATCCCATTGTAGTTGGCATTATCAATATGTGACCAATCATCATAGCTAAATCCGAAAAAGTCAAAAAACAGATTTATTCATTCTAGAATTTCAAATCCAATATCACTAGCTCAAAAAAAAAAACTTGAACAAACACCCCAAATGAATTTTACAACATTTTAATAGCTTGTAACAAACCCACAAGCAGCTCAGACCAGCAGCAAACCCACAAAGCTAAAAAACAAACTCAAACTCAAATAACCAAGGCTCAGACAAGCAACTAAGCTCAAACTCACAAACCCACAAGCTCAAACCTGCCACAAACCTGCAATTCCATAAAAAACAAGCAACCAAGCTCAGTGACAAACTAAAATTGAAAGAACCAGCATAGTCATAGGCTGCCACAAACCCACAAGCTCACAAGCCATCAAAAACAAGCTCAAACTCAAATAACCAAGGCTCAGACAAGCAACCAAGCTCAAACTCACAAACCCACAAGCTCAAACCTGCCACAAACCCGCAAATCCATCAAAAACAAGCAACCAAGCTCAATGACAAACTGAAACCGAAATAACCAGCATAGTAATAGGCTTCCACAAACCCACAAGCTCACAAGCTATCAAAAACAAGATCAAACTCAAATAACCATGGCTCAGACAAGCAACCAAGCTCAGTGACAAACTAAAACTGAAACAACCGGCATAGTAATAGGCTGCCACAAACCCACAAGATCAAACTGAAACTGAAACTCAAACTCAAACTGAAGCTCAGACAAGCAACAAAGCATAACCCAAATCCCGTCATTTTAATTATATATAACCAAGGTAGGGGCTCAAATATAGGTATAAAAATTAAAAACATGGATTGCCTCATCTAACAATGAAGTTGCAATGTAGGTTACAATCACATGAATGGATTGCCTCATCTAACATTATAAATACAATGTAGGTTGCATTCTCATCCTAGACTGCCCTACCTAAACATCACAAAACATTATAGATTGCATTCTCATAATAGGACCATCATCATTGCCCAAATTAAACAATACAAAATAGCAATACCAATACATAATGTGTAATGTAGGTTGCTATCAAATATCATATACATCCATATTTACATAAACCTGCAAAAGAACCCAAATTATAATGAGATTGCAATTGGAGTAGTGAAATAAGCATCATGTTGGCAAAAGTAGTGAAATATGCATAAAGTTACACCACTAAGTGTTCAACTTACATAATTAGCAACATATCCATAAGTGCTCAAATTATATCACTAAGTAGTTAAATATCCAATGAGTTTACAAAAGTAATAGATTTGTCAAGTTTTCGAAAGTAGTAAAATATCATGTTTTCAAAGGTCAAACCCAAAATATGACCTCCTAGAATCATCGCTCATTGATAATCTTCTCTATACATAGCTTTTGAGCATTTTTTGTTTTAATGATCAACCTCCTATAATATGATTCATGTTCATACAAGTAATCAAGCACCTTATCCAATGTGTCCTCAGAAAACTCATTCTCATGCGCCATTAGAGCCTTCGTCATGGTTTCACTCTAATGTATAATGCGTTGATGTTGAATTGAGAATGACATTGTCTCATGAAATCGTGCATGAGAGAGTCATCCTCTTTAGCCTTGCTACTCTTCTTCCTAGGATTTGATGTATCAATTGATGTGAAGCTACCCCACTAAAAGTCTTCAATTTTTTTAGCTTGAGTGTTGTTGTTTTGCCCAATTGATTCTTGAACTCAAGATGTGAGCTAGAGGATAAAGCAACCTCATTATTACTAAGATCGACATGATCCTCATCAACTATATCATGTTGCTTAGAGCCAAGTTTTTCAGTCATATCTTTGGTGAGATCACCCTTTGCTTGGTCATCTCAAGCGATATAACACAAGTTTTCATAGTGAATGAGAGGAGTGTTCAAATACCCCTTCAACCTAGAGCTATTGTATTTTTTGTCCTATACAATAAAATTTTGCAGAATCAATTTACTCGTAAGTAAATATTCAAAATTTGCTTATTTAACAAAAGTATTACCAGTGTCCACCTATCAAAACAATCTGGATCCATGATGACAATCTTAGTTTGTGGATCATAACCATCCCCACTCATGTTATTGGCAGTATGTATATCAAAATATTTACCCTTCAAGCACTTGACATGGTTCATGACATTCTCCTTTGTGAACTCAGTGTCACAGTTCTTGTTGACCTCCTCTAAAGCTTTTTGATATGCGAGCACCTTAAAGTTTCTATCAACTTTGAGACCATCCTTCGCCATCTGAATAAGGAAGGAGATTAACACATCATCATTCTCTATAGTCCATTTAGAATTAGGCATCCCCCTTGTATTCTCTTTCTTGTTCAAGATTTTTTGTAGCATTTTTCTTTTAGCAACTACTCGCTTCTTGCTTTTGCTTGGTGAGGCAGCTTCATCCTCAAGATCAATTGCAATTGGCCTCTTCAAAGAATGAGTCTCACCTGAGTGGGTACTGGGGGAAGTTTGGATAAGTGGGTGGCCACTGTTAAGCATATTCACATATGACATAAATTGTTGAGTCATAAATGAGTAGTTGATATCATAAGGATTGTAAGATGGATAAGAAAGTGGAGTTGTGTATTGGGTCGGAGGGAATGGTAGTGTAGTGGGTGGTTGTAGGCTGTCTAAAAATAATAGAAGATAGCTGATTCCCCATCAAACACTGATGATGGAAGTTACAATCGGACGACTTCCAGAAGGCTACAATTTGAAGACTTTCATATGTCAAAGAGCTAAGGCAAAGATTACAAAACGACGATCTTTAGCAACACTCTGATAGAAAGAGATTACAAATCAACGATCTCTTCAAACCAAGACGTGGAAGTCCTCCCTGCGTACCATCGTCCAGACACAACACCAATTCAATCACCTACGCAGCTTTAACCGCTGCAAACACGAATGCAGCTTCTTATGTGAGATGATTGATCTTGATGGTTGCGACAACAACATGACTAATATTATATTAGCAACTATTAGAGATGTTGATGAGCAGTGTAATAATATTCGACACACTGAGGAGTACATGGTTAAACCATGCAAGGAAATCTTAGTGGAGATCTTGACTTGCAGTTGATAGAGCGTTATTGAGATGCCTCAATTGTCACAAATGGCCTGAATAGGACCTTCTCGAATGGCCATTGGTGTCATCCATATATAAAGAAAGAGAAGCTCGAACACAGCTCCAATCGCTGCCAAACACAGTTCGAACGCAACTCAAATCAGCTCGAACGCGGCTTCAGCAGCTCATCATCGCTGCCCAACGCAGCTCATCATCGTTGCCCAACGCAGC